AATTTCAAGAACTTTGAATAGACATGTCTTAAGATTCCAAATCTAGTCTTTAACATACGGTCTATTTCCTACCCAGTCAAAAATACATGTTCTTTAATTTCTAGAACTTTGAATAGACAGGTCTTAAGATTCCAAATCTAGTCTTTAACATACAGTCTATTTCCTACCCAGTCAAAAATACATGTTCTTTAATTTCTAGAACTTTGAATAGACAGGTCTTAAGAATTTCAAGAACTTTGAATAGACATGTCTTAAGATTCCAAATCTAGTCTTTAACATACGGTCTATTTCCTACCCAGTCAAAAATACATGTTCTTTAATTTCTAGAACTTTGAATAGACAGGTCTTAAGAATTTCAAGAACTTTGAATAGACATGTCTTAAGATTCCAAATCTAGTCTTTAACATACGGTCTATTTCCTACCCAGTCAAAAATACATGTTCTTTAATTTCTAGAACTTTGAATAGACAGGTCTTAAGATTCCAAATATAGTCTTTAACATACAGTCTATTTCCTACCCAGTCAAAAATACATGTTCTTTAATTTCTAGAACTTTGAATAGACAGGTCTTAAGATTCCAAATATAGTCTTTAACATATAGTCCATTTCCTACACAGTCAAAAATACATGTTCTTTAATTTCAAGAACTTTGAATAGAGAAGTCTTAAGATTCCAAATCTAGTCTTTAAACCTTTGAGCCCTGACCACCACTTTACCAGTGGTAGAGAAAAATGACTTAATGCTCAGTCACTGGTTGAACAGTGGCTAAACACTTGTAACTATCTTTATATCTACTGTGAAATATTATATACCAATTATCTGCAAATTTTGACTCAGGAACACAGGCAGAAGTGTTAAAATTGTTCAGGAACGCAGGGCTCAAATGGTTAACATATAGCCTATTTCCGTCTCAGTCAAAAATGCCTGTTCTTTAATTTCAAGAACTTTGAATTGAGAAGTCTTAAGATTCCAAATCTAGTCTTTAACATATCGTCTCTTTCTTTCTCAGTCATGGTATGAGTGTTGGTTGAATGTAATGCTGGTCATTCTTTAATTAGAACATTGTCAGCAGTAGTAGTGCACAAAGTGTACTAAAATAAATATAGACATCTTTGGATTTCAACTCTATTTCTGGCATGCAAAAATTTTGAGCCACTTTGTTAAATTAATTAATTTCGTTAATTTTACACCAAAATCAAGAGTGATTAGCTGCATGCTTTTCTCGGTGCATTTTATGATCTTTGAAAGCTAGAAAACAAGTTACAGCATTTTCATTAATGCTATATGGCGGATGATAGAGCATCTTAAGCACAGTGATGTTGACAAAAGACTATACTAAAATATTGGGCCATCATCACAAATTTCACCTTTCTGATCTTTTCTTAAGTATAAAAGGATATTTCTTTTCTTTATTATACAAAAACTGATCTTTGTTATTGGAGAAAAGAGAAAACATCAAAGCGTGGTGTTAGCAATTAGTATTGCTGCTCTTGGCACAAAATTGCCTCAATCTGATGTGGCTTTGAATGGAACAAGGTCCAGATTTTCAAATTGAGAATTTTTTCCACTTCTTCTTGGCAGTGATCCCAGTGCTCTTGGAAATTTCAAGGTTTTTGTTGGCACACTTGTTTCCTCAGTTCCTGACACAATGGCCTAATTATATTGAGATCAGCACTTTATGCTGGCCAGTCTTTGAAAAACATGAAACATTTTCAACAACAAGAAACATTTTTGTTACACATGATGTGTGGTAAGGGACGCTGTTATGCTGAAAAATTTCTCCAACTTCATAGTCTGGCAGAAGGTTAAACCATTGTAAACTAATATATTTTTACCATTTAGGTTTCCATAAACTTTTATTAACTTTCTTCTTCTATCACTTTTGATGTAACACAATACACATCTACCACAAAATTTTACAGTCTTTGAGATAGATAGATAGATATGAATAGATTTTGAATGATGATTATGAATAGATTTAGATAAATAGATAGATTGAGATAGGAATTAACTATTTTGAATGATAGTTATGAACAGAAAAATAAATTGATAGATAGATAGATAGATAGATAGATAAAGAATAAAGTGGAAATGTTTATCAATCTAACATGTTTCACTTTTATTAAAGCTTCATCAGAGAATGAGATACAGAGAAAAAGAAGAAATAAATTCTGTTATTTTTACTTTTATGTTGCTTGATTTTCATTGTCAATCATGTTTCCTGTGCATCTAACTCTTTAAATGAATATTAGTATAATTTGTAGTATTCTGGATTCAAGGTGAGTCGACATATCCATCTGACATTTCAATAAATAAATGGATTTGAAGCCTACCTGAAAAATTAAATATTGCTATATGTATGTACATGTATAACATTTTTTAGTTTGTCTATGTGGGGTTCAGATGATAATGTTTATTTGTGGGTATGTATGTGTGTGTGTGTCTAGTAGACATTATGTTTGTTGGTTTTTCATGTGTTGATTTGGCAACATTTTTACATACATACCATTTGTTTGAGATAAACCTGATGTAATGGAATAACCTGTCAACCCCATGACTACACTATAGGTAGTAACTACCTATAAGTATCTGTAAGTCAACAGGCTACAAAGACTAGCTGAAATCTTTTCAGCTATATGGTTGAACTCTCTGCTTTCAGGCAGAGAGGAACCCAGATGAGGCTATGCCAAAGGGCAAAATCTCGTTTGGGAAGAAAGACTCACCCAATCCCGTTTATGCAGGTTATATGGAGAATTTTTGGCCGAGCCTAAGGGCTCAGATGTCCCACATTAAACTTGGCCTTGTGCCACATCTACCCTCATGGGGATGCTAGTAAATGCTGACTAGCTGAAATCTTTTTCAGCTGTGCTGGCCAAACTCTCTGCCTCCAAGCAGGTAGGATCCCCAGACGGGGTTATGCCGAGGGGCAGAGTCTTGTCTCAGGAAAAACCAACAGACACCTTGCCAAAAGACCTTATGCCCTAATTGATGTAATGGAATAACCTGTCACCCCCATGAGTGACTACACTATAGGTAGTAATGACCTATAAATAGCTGTAAGTCAATAGACTACAGAGTCTAGCTGGGATCTGTTGAATATGACTCTTACTTATGCAAGAACTACTGACCTTTTAATAGTAGCACCTATTACTGGATTGACTTGTGATGACCTTGTGCATAACTGTTACCTTTATTCTTATTGTACTGGTTTTTTACAATAAAAATTTACTTACTTTATCCACCTTGTTTTTCAAGTATATATTTCTATTAGTATGGAATATAACAAAACATTAGATTCCTTAAGAATGGCAATACATAAAGGTTGGCAATGTAATATAATGTTTTTGATGTGAGTTTATAGTTAGTAATATTGTTAATAGAAGGCTGTCAATGTACTTTCTCCATAAAGAATTATGTTCTTTTTTTTTTTTTAATTAGGGTGGTGTGAGTAAAATCAAAGTTATGGCCAGTTTTGTTGCTGTGTATTATAAGAGTTCAAATGGTTGCCTAAACATAAATTTCTTTTGTATTTGTAGATACAGGTTTTTTGGATCATCTGATGTCTCTTCAATATAAACTCTTTTACATTGTAAATAATTTATTTGATAAGTACCAGCATTTGAATTGGTGTTGAATTTATTTTTCTTCTTAATTATATTTCCAATTGTTTGGATGTAAGGTTAATGATCCTAGTATTAGGGATAACTAATTTATTTCCAGTTTGATAGAAAGAGTGCTAGAAGGTAGGATTATAAATTTCATGTTGTGGTTGGAAGTGTTATTGGTGGTGTCTAGTTTGTTGAATTTGTGGATTTTATAAGCTCGTTTTTTAGCACTGAGGATGACATAGTGTGGGTAGTAAAGAAGTCTAAATGTTTTCTCAATATATTTCTCTTCTTCACTTAGGTATTTTGGGTTACATATTCTAAGGGCTGTGAGGTAGAATACTATGACTAATCCAAATTTTATTTTTTGATTGTGGTGGGAATAGAAATGAATTAGATCGTTTCTGTTTTGTGAGTTTATTATGAACTTTAATCTAATTTTTTATTGTTACATATTAATAAGATGTTGAAGAAAGGTAGAGATTTGTTTACTTCCAATTTATAAATGAATTTAGTGGCAGGTTCAGCCTTATTAAGCTACATTATTATTTATAAATGTAAAAGACAACAGGAAAACTGTAATCATTGCTGATGCGTTTTGTCCAATGTGGACTTTTTCAAGGCAAAAACGAAATGAATTTATTTAAACAAAGTAATTAATAATAACAAAAGCAAAATGTCCTTAGCAACTGGAAGAATTTAGATAATGCTATTTTCATACTGTTAACTGAAAATTACGTCAATTACTGTCACATGTGAAGATATTGTTATTGCTATATTGACGGATTCAACCATTTTCTTTTGATTTCTTGATACTATTGTGTACGTTTGTTTGGGAGAGTAGTAATTCTGTTAAGAAAGGTGAAATAGGGAAAAAGCCGTAGATTAATGTTTGAAAAAGTCTACATTGGACAAAACATGTCGGCAACTACAGTTTTCCTATTGTCTTTTATATTTATAAATATTGTCTTTTTCTACAGGTTAACTCTGAGAAATTTTTCATATCTACATTTTTATGTCTAATAGATTTATACCATAAGAATATAATAAACGAAAGTCATCTATGTAAGTCGAGCTTTTGGATATGATGTGTTTAAATGTACCAGGCTCTCAGGATTCGAGGAAAAAAACAAGCAAAAACATCATTAATAGGTGATCCCATAGGTAAGTGGAATTTTTGATCATAGAAATTTTTATTGAAAGAAAAGAAACAGGGTTAGTGAAGAGTTTACATTTTATAATTTTATGATCAGGTCAAGGAAGCTTTTCTTTGGATTTTTGAGGTGGTTTCTCAAAATGTTGGGGCATTTTTAACAGATATATTTGTGCATAGTGATTTGATATTCAAGCTAGCCATAACCTCATTTTCCATATTTATGTTTTATATCCTCTGGATTATGTAGATAGATAGATAGATAGATAGATAGATAGATAGATAGATAGATAGATAGATAGATAGATAGATGTGAAAAGAATGCAATAGATAGACTGATAGATAGACAGATAAAAAATGAACAGACTCAGACATGTGTTATTATTTTGATAAGAAATTTCAATTTTTGATCTATGCTGATAAATGCATTGACAAAGGAAATTTCTTCGAAAAATAAAACTTTTTGTGCAAAGTAAGTTCTTTTTCCATAATTATCAGTCATTAATACACATATGTACGATAGATAGATATGAACAGATTGAGATAGATAGATAGATAGATAGATAGATAGATAGATAGATAGATAGATAATGAACAGACTGACATAGATAGATAGACAGACAGATAGATAGATATGAACAGACTAAGGTAGACAGATAAATACAAAGAAAGAAAGAAAGGACAGACTGAGATAGATAGATAGATAGATAGATAATGAACAGACTGACATAGATAGATAGACAGACAGATAGATAGATATGAACAGACTAAGGTAGACAGATAAATACAAAGAAAGAAAGAAAGGACAGACTGAGATAGATAGATAGATAGATAGATAGATAGATAGATAGATAGATAGATAGATAATGAACAGACTGACATAGATAGATAGACAGACAGATAGATAGATATGAACAGACTAAGGTAGATAGATAAATACAAAGAAAGAAAGAAAGGACAGACTGAGATAGAGAGATAGATAGATAGATAGATAATGAACAGACTGACATAGATAGATAGACAGACAGATAGATACATATGAACAGACTAAGGTAGATAGATAAATACAAAGAAAGAAAGAAAGAAAGAAAGGACAGACTGAGATAGATAGATAGATAGATAGATAGATAGATAGATAGATAGATAGATAGATAGATAGATATGAACAAACTTATATAGACAGATAAATAGATATTGGCAAAGGAATATATTCAATTTTAATTCTTAAAATCAAGCTCTTCTCATTTCTCAATTTTCCTCAATAGCTCAAAATCTGAATAAGTTTCTAAAAAAAATATTCATTCTTAACAAAAGTAAGAAGACAAAATACGTTTTCTTTTTAAAAAGAAAATTCTTTTAAACCAGTTTTTGTGACTGTGTTATACAACTCTTTTCTGAAAGCATACAGGAAAGATATCTTTGATTAGAGATTTCAAAGATACAATATGGTGACTTGAAAGAAAGAGATGACATGAATATGTAAAAGAAAATGCCTCAAAATATCTCGATATTTTGTATATTGTTGTCTCTACCTGATATACATGCATTCGTCGATAAACAGCATAAATTGCTTTCATTGATACTTGTCTAATTAAAACGGAACAAGAACAATTTTTTTAATGTTTAAATTTTCTTGTTTATATAAAAGTAACAATAGATATTGTCGGTATGTTATGGATTGAACACTTTCAATGTAATTTTCATCTTTCTTCTTTTTCTATGTGCTGTATCCCTTTAAGACATTGGTGATCATGTCTCTCCACCATTTCCTGTCCTTTGTATCTCTTAGTAAAGTTTGTTTTCCTCCATCTTTTCCAATGTAGATTGATTGCTGATTTCCTCTGTCCCTCTTGTGTTCAGTATGTCCTGTGAGTGTCAAATTTTCCAAGCCCTTTTCCTCATTATGCATACTAGAAATTTCAACTTTATATTTCCGATTTTAAGTCTAAGCGGTATTTTTTATTCCATTTTCCTTAAAACTTTCTTATTACTCTCTTATTTAGTCCATGGTATTCTCAGTATCCTTCTGTAGAATCACATTTCTCTTGCCTCAAGTCTTTTTGTCATATGTGAAGAGATTGTTCTACATTCACTTCTGCATAAGAGAACTTAGATTACATAACAGTTCAGAAAGCTTTTTTGTTTGCTTCCAATGAAATTTTCCTGTACCTTAATACTTTGCTTAGCTTTTGAGTAAAAAGTTAAAATTTTAAAAAATACATTTTGGTTATGTTTTTTTCTATTAAATATGTTGGCAATCATAGCTCCCCACAATTTCCTGTCTTTTGTAATTTTTAATAAATTTATCTTTTTTATCCTAAACTGTGTCCCAACATCCATTTTATGTCTGCAGGGTATCAAATTTTCCAAGCCCTCTTTCCTCTTTATGTGCCATAGAAATTTCAACTGTCTTTTCCTGACATTAAGTATAAGTGTTCTTTTTACATTATTCGGACTATTGTCCTAAATTTCACTGCTCATGTCTAGGGATATCCCACCATTTTTTTATCAAACACTATTCACTTATTGCTTGTCCTGTTTTCTGTAGAGTATAAGTCTTTACTAACTAGCCCAGAAAATGAACTCATAATTACCAAATTTGTGAAGCAATATTTTAATTCACTAGGCTGTTATCTTGTAGAACAATCCAGAACCTAGAATTTGGATCTTTAAACCTAATTGCCTACTGCCACTGCTGCTACTGTCATGCTTAACCTCCTTTGCTGGATCAGTAAGCAGAGGGCCCAAAGGTTAACATTTTGTGATTATAACAACAAAGAAGAGGACAAATGTAAGTAATGATAACTCCTACTCCTACAAATTCAGACAGAAACTTGATATGATGATTAAAACGTGATGATGACATCATGACATTGTAACTAGTAAGTGAAATTCTTCATAGGTGGCCAGTTTTTGAATGCATTTAAAACTCAAGTTCCAGTAATAAAGAAAAGTTTGTTTAGTTTTAGATTTTTTGATTTTATGGTTAGGGCTTCTAATATTTGTAACTTTTTTTCTGTTTTGGATGCATTATGTATGCCTTGTAGTTTGGGACATGACAAGAGCTGCTTTTGAGGTTCTAGGTTTTGGATTTACTAATGTAGCATTTTTATTCTAGCCTTTTTTTAAAGGGTCAGTCCTTGTCTGTTGTTTTTAATGAAATATATATCAATGCAGAACTACTGTCTAAGCATACACACAGACACACACAGAAATTTGTGTGAGCCTGTGTGTAAAAATCAGATATAAATAAAAATATATCTGTAAAAAGACAATATGAATAAACACAAAAAGAAAACTTTTCTTTACCAATATTTTTCAGGCTTCAATAACATTTACTCACCTTTGTTTATGAAGCCTTAAATTATATCACTTAGAATCCACCATAGTTTACCTTGACTTTTACAGTTAGCCTGAATAACATTTATGAGCATTTTTCAATTTAAAAATCTTGAAAATCTGACAATATTTCTATTTATGAAAGCATGTTGCAAAATAAGATCCTTACATTTACTTTGGTAAAGTCTACCAGAGGATGAAATGCATCAGTAAAGAAAAGTTTTCATTTTGTCTCTATTCGTATATATATATATATATATATATATATATATATATATATATATATATATATATATATACACACACACACACACACACATATATATATATATATATATATAGATAGATAGATAGATAGATAGATACTGTCATAAACTAGGGAAGGTTACTGAATAGAATAATCACATGAAGGCTGGTAATGTACGATAATACTTAGAACTAGAACAATGCATATAAGATTTGCCAGCAGTGTGTAGAAGTAGTAGTCAACTGCTAGAAGTGAGTCAAGTGAATTTGACAATGAATCTCCAACTGCAGACCAACATACAGTATTTACTACTGTATTTTATGTGAATGGGGACAACATAACCATTATCATCAGTAGGCATGCTACAACAGATAGATTGATATAGAATAGATAGATAGGCAATGTTGACATTGTATATATCTACAAACTGTCTCTGATACTAAGCGCTCTTTCCCCATAAATATACCAAATTTTAACAAATATGCACATGCACTCACACAAACACAGACACAGATATATATATATATATATACACACACACACAGACACACACACACACATATATATATATAATGAACTCTCTCATCAGTTTTGAGTTATGAGGATCTGACAGCTTAATTGATTCAGTTATGAAATTTTGTGCGATAATCTTAAGTGGCACTCAAGACCTGCTAGTGATTTACAAAGGAGGCTGCATATGGAGCAAGAGTGAGGATTGTGGGATGAGATCACTGGTAGATTAGCTGACCTTTTAGATCTTGCTCTCACTTGAAGATGATTCCGACAAGCAGATTGAAAACTACTGAGTCCAATAAAACATGTTGATCTCCATTCAACCCGCTCCAAGGCTAAGCGCTCAAGGGTGTTACATGGTATATTGACAGCTGACAAGTATGTACTTTTCGTTAGTTGAAATAGATCTATACCCCCACCCATATGAGGTAATTTGGAATTTTGCTATGTAATATATATATATATATATATATATATATATATATATATATAAAACATGTTCAGTTTGAATTTGCATTGCCACAGTTACAGTATGGTTGTATTAAATACAAATGATTGTTCTTGCCAACACCATTTTACATGAAAAAAATCTTATGTAAATCATGATAAAAATTATTCCTTATCTATTCAAAAATATTTTTCAAAGAATGAATTTGGTTGTCATTTGAATGATGAGAAAAAAGGCTCCAGATAAATAAAAGCAAAGCATGTGAATAAATTCTAAAATGTTGAGAGAAAATATGATATCTGTTAATAAAAGGTGTGGCTAAAGTAAGAACCCTTTTTATTTATTAACTTATATTGAACAGAAATAAATTACCATAGTTTAAGATGGCTTAAGATTAACTATAGCTTAAACATTTGGAAATGATTAAGTCTTAATTTCAAGCTGACATGGATAGGACAACAGGGAGCAATTGAAGTGGTCATCATGATCACCAGACCTAACTCCTGGAAGATCTCATTTGCAAGCTCAAACTGAAAACAATTTCTAAATTAAAACAAACAATTTCTGATAAATTTTCTGAAATTAATGTAGAAATGTGTTAAATGGCATGTTAAATGGTTTGTAGAATTGTTGCTGATAGGATTAAGCATTATATTGAAATTGAAGAGGAACGTTTTGAACATTTTAAATAGTTCTTTAATCGTAACAAATCATGTTGTTTTGATTTGACAATGCTTATAATTTTTCTTAATCTACTGTAATTGATTTTTATTCAATACAAGTTAATAAATGAAAAAAGGAGGTTACTTTTGTCACACCTTATATATGAGAGAAAACTAAAAAGTGACTGAAATAATATCACAATATGATATAAAAAAAGGACCATTGAATCAATTAAAATTAAAATAATATAAGCAGGTAATGCGATGTAATGAATATGCATACACCTGGGTTCCCCCTCACAGTAATATGATTGGCTGGTGTCAGCCATAAATACAGACTGATGTGGAGGTACAGCCATGCCTATTGTCTTCACCTATTGCCTATGCCTATTGCCTACCACTACGACGAGGACTAGTCCAGTACAGTTACCTGCTAGATTGTCCTACCCAGTTACAGTAGTCAACAACCACTTTGCTACTTCGAACAAATATATCCCTTTCCAGGAGATATCATAATGTAATGGTTATTAGCACAAAAAGTGGAATTGGTAAACCTTTTTTTTTCAAATTGCAAGCTAATCTTTTGCATTCACTTTTGTACTATTATCCTTGGGAAAGGCATCAATCTATTCCTTCATTCTTAGATACAAGAACCTTTTTTCTATTAATGGAACATATTTTAAGACAGTGGTTCTTAACCTTTTTTGAGACACAGACCATTATAAGAAGCAGCCCTTCAAAGACAGATAAATGGACAAGATGATACTCACAGTCTGATTGGCTTTTCACAACACTTATACATGCATTATTTCTCTAAACTGCACCTTCATGCACACTGCACACACATAAATTTCCAGTCGAACGCACTTGAAAGAAATTGTGGTCAATTAATCTTCACCAGTATATGGGAAAATAATTAAACCATGATAAACTGTGGAAAATGATAATTATCACTTGCTCTTATGGAGTGGTAAAAGAATGCCGTTGTGCAGAGAAAGATGACACATGTTTAAATGGTAAATGTGGTGCAACTGCAAGTCAAGAGATGTCTAACAGTCAGCACTGTATGCAATGGCTGTGCAAATTTTATTTCACACAGTGGCAGGATACATATTCTTTTATTTCATTCAATGGGAAAACATTGATTGGGACAAGGGCTGTACTGCAAATATAAATGTTAATTTTTAGGTGATCCTCATGGATGCCATGAAACTTATCTATAGACACCATAGGGGTCAATGTATATCAGGTTAAGAAGCCTTGT